TAGAGATATGATGGGCTTGTAGGTCTAACAATAAGCCTATATATTTTAATTTCCTATCATTCAATTATTGGAATCAAGAATAGTATATGATTAATTATGTTGGCTCTTATATAGAGATGCATGAATTCTAATTGTTGTAATTAAGTGATTTGAGTTATGATAATGATTAATGCATAGTTACAAGATGGTCATGAGCTAAAATTTGGTGGATTATAGTTTATATATACTCCCCAAAAAGGAGGAATACATGATTCTCTCTCTCTCTCTCTCTCTTTTGTTCAGTCCTCGGCAAAAATTAGGGGTGCAAACAAAATGAGTCAAGTTCAAGCCTTAGCATGATTGAGCTCGGCTCGCATATTTTTTAGGTGTCTTGAACTTGGGCTCGAACTCGAGCTTAGAAGTTGAGATTGAACTTGACTTGTGCATCAAAAGCCTGGGCTCGAAAATTGCTCGAGCTCGGCTCGATTGCAAGCTCCATTAGAAGGAAAGAAATCAACAGCTAATTCGAAAGTATTTTAACTACTTGTGAAAGAAAGAAATTGCTTAAAGACGACTAAGTTTTATCTCATGTTTGCAAAAAATTTGAGAAAGGGGAATACAAAATTTGAGAAAGAAAAAAAAAACAATTTAAAATTGATCCAGATAATTGAGAGGTATGTGCTCGAGTTGGGCATTAATTTGATCAAACTAAGCTCGATTACCCAACGGGTTCGAAAATATGCTCGAGCTCAAGCTCGAAACTCGATAACTCGACTTGTGAGCTCGTTAACGAGCCAGCTCGAGACAGCTCGGCTCACTTACACCCTTGTGAGCAACATAACCTCTTGAATTTCCTAATCTCTTTACATTTGTGCTCCTTTATATAAATGTTGATGGGACATTCCCGAGCTGTATATCCACAGCTAGTTTCCCAGCTCACCCATTCTATTCCGGACCACTCAGATCAAAATGAACAACTACGTTAAAAGAGTGGGTTAGTCATATTATATCTGAAGGTGAGCATATAATATACAGAAACCAATTATTCCTCATGTGATAAGAAAATAGGGTCAAGAAGCTCGGCTTTTAATTTATAAATTAAAATGTTATTGATTAAGCTGCATGTAAACTTGAGCTTTGGGAAAAAAAAAACTTTAAATATGTTTTCATCTGTTGTTAAGCAAAATTAATAGCAGTTATTAAGAGCTAATGGTTAATGCGCTTGAACTCTGATCATCATAATATAAGACTTTGTTTGAGATGAATTTTTTTACTGTTTTAAGAATCAGTAAGAAAGCCGTCCCAAATGAAGCCTATGTATGACCAAAAGGGTGAAGGACTTCGCTCAACCTTAAGGGGATGCTTGGTACCACTTAGGATTTTATTTAAGTATGATTTCGTAAATCTTTTAAATTCGGATTTCGGAAATCCTGAAAACAATTTGGTAACACTCATGATAAATCTTATTAAATCTGGTGTGACTGCTTGGCTATAGAGTCGATTTAGCGAGCATACTCATCCTCTCGAGCCAATGGATTTCGTAAATCCGGGAAAAAATAGGATATCGGAAATTCAGGATTTAGCACGAAAAGGCAGAATTTTCCATCTACGACAGCTTTCATTTGCCGTGAGATTTGGTATTGCATTTTAGGCCATTTGGCTGGATTTCGCTCAAATCCGGCCTAAATCCTGCTACCAAACAGCCCCTAAAATTATGACCACTGTAATGAAGAGTCAATGTCTGCATCCCTATTTCTGTCATTCTATTTAATCTTCAGAGAGCCCTCATTGCATTGCCATGTGATTTTCTTATCATAATTTCTCTTTATTAGTGTTAGCTTGCTCTTAGGTTGTGGACTACACAGAGAAGCATGTTTTCATGTTCTCTTTCTTATTTTTCTATCAAGATATTTTCCCTCTCTCTCTCTCTCTTTCTCTCTCTCTGAGGAAGAGTTTGAAGCATTGGTGATCAGATATGAGGGTGAGAGAAACAAAGCAAAATCAACGCAAACTGTCATGATATCTTATACTTGTTTAAGTGTAAAATTAATTTTCTAGTGTTGTAGATCCTGCGTTGGGTGCAAAGTAAGATCAATGGGAGACAAGAGAAGAAGTTAGATGTCTGCCATGGCTCTTCTCATTGTCAGTTATTCCACCCTCATTCTTTTTCTCTCTATTTTCTTAATTATGAACAGCTTTGTTCATCTGAGGACATCCAATAATAATGGTACTCTTCACAGCAACTATTTTTGCATTGTTTTGGTCTGATCTTAATCCCCTTCACTAACTTAATATTCTAAGACTAGCCAAAATCATCCCCAATTAGGCCACACTGATCTATTCTTTGTCTAGCTTTCTTTTCACATTTCTAAGCCTTTGGTATATTCACCAAAAGAATCTATAGCATATAACCTAAATTTGTTCTAACACTTTCAAGTGTATCCATTCCCTATGCCCCCTCCATTCCACAACCTAACGTGAACCCCAATAGCTCTAGGGCTTAAACCACTCAAAGGTTTAGTTAACTTCTCCCTTAGCCCTCCACCTCAAGTTACCTTATTCAAAAATCTAAAGGTCTATTCCAGCATTGAGTTACTACAACATGTTAAGCCTTATATCACTCCTAAGATATTGGCCACATCCCTACTTTTTGAAGCTATGAAGCTCTTTATGACATCTAGGTGCTAGTTCCCATTAAACTAGATAGTTGTGAAGCTCATATATGATGTGATATTATTTCTATGGTTATAATCCACATCCTTTTAGCTTAGTTTTAGTTTGATGAAATGAATGTAATTATTAAAATTATGAGAACTTTATGCATTTAAAAATAATGTTAAACCCCTCAAAATATTTTCAATTAAACTATTATGTGAGTAATTCTAATTAATATTTATTGATCCACCAACTATTTCACCAACCTTGGAAAATTCTTCTACTATCCTTGAATTGTCATTTTAGTTATATATATTTTTATGTACCTATCTTTGAAATCTATGATGATACCATAAATGGTACCTCCACTAAACTCATTTATTGACACACTTACTATTGACTTTTCTCTTGATGGCTCTAGCCCAGTCCACTTCTTATATAATATATCATTGTTTTGACCACTACATTGGTGAGAGAATACCCTTAATAGGTCATATCTCATAATATTATATTTGATGATTATCCCTTCTGCCTGGTTATCGTCGTCTGGCTTTTGCCTGACGAATGTTTTCATACCTCCCCTTTACCATCTCCATCAAACCTCCATTCAGCCACCATCCTTGACCACCATTGTTTAACTTCCTCTCGACTAACATCATTATCATATCATCGCCTAACCTCTACCATCAGACACTCATTGGCTAACCATTGCTGTCAGGCCACACTTAATCATCACCATCGGACATCCATTGCCCTGCCGACTACTATCCTTTCAGCCTTGATCACCTACCAATTATGGTCCTCAAACTCATATTGTTCTGCTACGGTCCCTTCGACCTCTGTCTCCCAACTATGGTCCCCCAGTTAGCGTTATTCGACTATGGCCCCTTCAACCAACGTCCCGTGACTACAGTCCTTCTAACCTCAATCTCCATCACCAACTCGATTTCTCTAACCTTTGTTTCCATACTATGATTCCTCTGAACTCCATCTCTCGTTGACTATGGTCATCAAATTACCATTGTCCAATTATGATCCTTGGACCACTGTTGTTGACCACGACCCCTCTGACCACTATCGCTCGACTAAAGTCCCTTTGACCATCATCACCTTACAAAGGTCCTACCAACCTTGGTCGTCTGTTAACTATGATCCTCAGCTCATCGTCACTCGATTACAATCGCTCCACCTCAATCACCCGACTACGATCCTCAGATCACCATTATTCGACTAAGGAGAGCACCATTGCCTGATTACGATCCTCATAACACCATCATCTACTGATTATGGTAATTTGATCACCATCACCTAACTACGGTCCCTCCAACTATAGTCCCTTCGACTATCATCATCAAAAATGATCCCTCTAACTACCATCGTCTGACTATGGTCCCACCAACCTCCGTCACACGACTACCTTTCCTTCGACCACTATCACCTAACTATGGTCCTGCCGACCAAACATGTAAGCCGACGACCTCTTAAGAACAAGTCTCATGCCATTGAATTCTTTCAACTCAAATAACATATTATGCTCTATATGTTGTATATCTACTACATTGTGAAAAATGGGTGAGGCCCTGTGATTTTTTTTTAAAAAAATGTGTCAAACTTCCGAACTTGAATCCGACCCATTTTTTAAATGGGTCAAACTAAATCTGATTTTTTTTTTTTGGTCTGTTCAAGATCAAAATAGTAGGTTCGATCATTTTTTGACACCCTTAGCTAATAGTGTTGTGAGCTAACTCCCTTAAAAAAAATTAAATTTTATATTTATTATTATGTGTAATATAACATGCACTAATTTTCAAAGTTTTAGATTTATTTATTTATTTATTTGGAAACGGGGTATTTATCTACTTTTACTTCCGAAAGGGCATTTGGCGACGTGCTAATCCTCGGCTGATCTAGAAGAGGCACTTACCTCAAAAATCTCTTGGTCTACATTGATTGAGCTCCTCTTAAGAGGCGCTGCAACTCAAAGAGAATTAAGCGTGAGATTTCCAACCGTACTCGCCCACCAAGCTAAGTAAAGGTGGGTGAACACTTTGGCCTGTTGGCTGAGAGCTTATGCTTCCAACTAAAAGGTCTTAAGTTCGAGTATTTGTGTATGCATTGTGTGTGTGAGTTTGACTTAAATGGCCTAAATGTAAAAAAAAAAAATAGTTTTAGATTTTCTTTTTTTTTTGGGAATATATAGTTTTAGATTTGACTTATACCTAAATTTAGATCTGCCTAACAGGACACGTGTTACTATTTTATTTGAGAGTATTGGGAACTGTAGCGGTGCCGAACATAAGCTTCTCCGTTTCAACGTCTTGGACTTTCTTTACAGTCCAGGGAAGGCAGAGTGATCCGCCATCTCGTAAAGGGGCCTCGAATAAAGCGTCTCTCCGAGGGTTATCTCGAGCATTAGGGTTGCTGGATCCTCATACAAACGAAGTTTTGGGAAAGGCTCGATTTTTCTCTGGTCTGCTTTTTCTTGAATTTATTATGGAAGATTGAGGTAGGGAGTGTTATGAGCGTGGTGAAGCGGTGGAGAATTTGAATAGTCCTGTTTTTTGTGGCAGTTTTGGATTCTTCTGATAGATGTTTGCTGGCTGAAATAGTTAGGGTTCAATGTCTTGGGCGGGCGCAGAAGAACTTTTTTTATCCACTTCCCTCGCGAGCTATCTTGACAGTAATATAAAATTTTTTCCCCTCCCTAACACTACCAGTAAAATCATTTCTTCTTTTTGCTGCTTTTTTATTAAGTCACAGTGGCTATTGAATTCTAGCGGATAAATGCAGTCTATAATTCTACAATTTGGTGAAAAATCCCACATTTCTGGGATTGTTATTTGTATTCTTGCTGATTTGTATAGCCAAGAAATTTTGTCTTGTGTGGATATTTATACTGTTGTGTAACTCAGTTTACCTTTTTTCTTATATAATATTTTGTTTCTGCATCTCCTGTGGCCTTGAATTTTGAAAGGAAAAAAAAAAATCTGTGTTTTGTTATCTTCTACGTTATGTATGGTCTGAAATAGTTCACATTTGATCTGCAGAGATTAACCTGTTTTTTTCATCTTTGCTAAACTGCCTTTTTATTTCTGTACATTCGTAACACTTAGAGTATGCTTGGTTTGAAGGAATTGGGGGAAGTTTAAACTCATTTTAGTTCAGAATTTCACATTTGCTGTTTGGACTCAATGTAATGTATAGGTTACTAGATTTACCTAGAAAATGTTGACACATGCATTTTTCCATTAACAATTCGCTAGCCAAGCCTAAAGAAAAATGGGAATAAGATTTTGGTTGATCATCATTATAATTCACACGCCCTCTCTTAACAAGAAAGAGACACAATTTCTCATCAATAAAAAAAAAAAAAAAAACAAAGAAAAACACTCAATTCTTCAACCTAACAAAGTGAACTTATTTCAACTTAATTACTTTACCATTTTTATTTACATTTCCTCTCTTTTTAATTCCTTCAAATAAAGAGAGCCTTAAAGACTAACAATGTCACTATTAAAAATTAACAATGCATTCTGGATTGTTGCCTTCGATGCTGCAAAAAACTTAAAAACTAGTGTGGCGCTTCTTGATATTGTGTAGCTATATGTGAACCAACAACTCACCAGTTATAATTGGTTGCACCATTCCTGTTAATATTCATGAATAAAGTAGTTGAACTCATGAAGTGATGAGATAGTGCAGATCATTCTTCTAGGACCTTCATAATTCTTTTCTTTGTTATCTGTTACATAGATTTTTTGTTTTAATCCTAAATGACTTGATTACAGTTGATTTTTATCTTATTGAATTACTATATGTCTTCCCAAGCATGTCAACTTTCACTAGGGGCATATATCAAGTTGAGTTTGAGTGAGTTTGGTCCAACTCAAACTCAAAATTTTGATACTAAATTTCTGTCCCACTCTTTTTTGGTTTGAATGAGTGAGAAGATTTCATTTAGACATGGTAAATTTTCTCTGTTTAAGATCTGAAAATAAATTTTGTCGAATTTATTATTGAGTTCTGCAATAAACTCAAAAATCTTCTCTTTCTACAAACTTTTTAAGAATCACCACATCATTGCTACACTTCATCTTGAAATCTTAGTAATTATCTTGTTCAAGCTAATAAATTTTCATTGTATTAAAATATAGATTTGAGATTTACTTAGTTGTTGAGATCTTAGTTTTGATCTTGATCTCATGGACAAGAGCAACATCCTTAATCTTTGAGTACGTTTGTTTGATGACATACCAAACGTCTTTTACAATTGTTAGGAACATGTATGTCCACTAATTTTAGGCATTATGGTATTCCATAAGCATGTCATGATCATGGAATCAGCTTCATACCACATTGAAAAGTTTGGGTCTTTCAGTTTTGAAGGAGGATCTATAAGATGATGGAATTTTAATGTTCCTTTTAGAAAAGAGTACATAATTTGGGACCACTTCGGATAGTTTCTTCTATTCAAGTGATGTGAGGCATGTAGCCCCTGGAGCTCTTTTTTTTTTTGTCATTCACAATGGTTGAATTTTTGGAAAGGAAGTAAAAAAAAATCAGGCTAATGAAGAGGAGAAAGAATAAAAAAAAAAGAAGATCTACAAGATTATGGAATTTCAGTTTTGAAGGAGGATTCTATAAGATGATGGAATTTTCATTTTCCTTTCAGAAATGAGTACGCAATTTGGGACCACTTCAGATAGTTTCTTCTATTCAAGTGATATGAGGCATGTAGGCCCCTAAAGCTCTCATTTATTTTTATTTTCGTCATTCATGATGGTTGAACTTTTGGAAGTGAAGTAAAAAAAAATCAGACATAATGAAGAGGAGAAAGAATAAAAAAAAAGGAAGAATAAAGGTGGGAAGAAGAGAACTATAATCTTAATCTGATGCCATGTAGGAAAAAAAATCGAAAGATATGATATAACTACTTGAAATTTATTGTTTATTATTTATACAAAGATTGGAGGTATATATTGATTTGTCCAAAGGTCTTATATATGAAAATAATTCAAAACTAATTACACAAAATATAACAGAAGGAAGAAGGGAGAATAGCCCCTAAAATGATCAGCAGTTGTGGGGTGCATGGATTGAAATCCGAGGGCCTTAAGTGAGATAATCTAAGGGTTAAAAGCCCGTAATTTGTGTCAAGAATCCCTATCATGATTGGCAGACATGCAAGTCCCACAACAAGAGATGGAAGTGGGTGCACTTTGTTGGACAATCTTCCACAATGTGAATATGACACAACACTCATATTTTCCTTTGTATACATATCAAGTGGCAGTCTAAGGTCATCACAAATTTATACGAGCCTTAGTCATGCCAATTTCAAATTAATGATGACTAAATTTGTGGTTGGCTTCGAAAGGATTGTAGTATGTTTTTTGTTTGGTGATCTGGGGATGCTAAATCTTACTCTTATTTTTTTTTGCATATGTGCAAAAGCTTTGAAAATTGCTTCAAGAGACCAATCTTCGTAATTCTACTATTTTATTATAATATTCTTTTGTGACCAAAATGAAGTTGTGACCTATTCTTTGTTTCCTTTTTCAACCCTCCACCCAACATCATCATTTACAAAATGCAGTCTTTCCCGTCTTCTTCTTTGTCATGGAGTCGCACTTTCATGCTCTTCATGTATTTGCTAGCCCTTGACCTTTTTTATTCACACATGATAAGCACTATATTGGCGCTTTAGGTATGATAGAACCTTCTAACTTATTTAATATCACTTATCATTTATAGTTTGTTTATTTACTAGATTTCCTAGTTTTTTTTGTGAACTATTAGGTCGGCATAGTATCTTTATTGTCTCAATCATTGATGAATTTTCTAACTTGATGTGCATAAGGCCCTTAATAACTTTTCTAATTGTTCATAATATATTTCCATGAGTAATTTATAATATTTATATAATCATAAATTATTAAATTTAAATAATATATATTGTACTCGACTCACGAGCTCATTTACAGGTTGAGTTCGAGCCAGCTCGATTAACTTACATCCTTACTATGCACCTATTCTCTCTCCTCCCTTTATGTAGGTTTCTTTTATCCTCCATCCAGCATGTGATGATGCTATTCATTCCAGTGCACAAAATTTTTGATACGTTTCTTTCATCTATTGTTTTCTTTTCTGTTCATTAAGTGTGCGGTTTTCCCAATGATTCATCAAATGTGTTACTTCTTTTAATTATGTGTCCTGTGCTATCCTATATTTGATATACTTTGTTTTCTGATTCCTTTTGTTGTGTTATGTATCACTTCAAGTTGTGTTTCACCATGCATTGCTTTCGGTGATTAGATGTGTTTTTTGATAGTCTTTCCTGTGCTTTCAACACAATACTTTGTTTCTGTTGTTCCTTATGCTTTGTTTTGTACGTTGTATTTTTTATGTAATTACCCCATTTGCACTTCTGCATGCAGTTTTTACTTTGATTACATTGAATCAAAGTTCTTAAGATATTTTGATCACGCAGTACATTTCATTCTGCACTCTGGTTGAAATATTGAATGCTTCCAATAGTCCCTGAACTTGCTGTTTGTTTATTTGACAGAGAAGCTCCTTGTTTTGCTAAGAGATGGGAGAAAACTGTTGGGCATTCTTCGGTCTTTTGATCAATTTGGTATGTATCTATATTTTATTTCTTTAATTTTTGGATTGTGATTATCAATTAAGTAATCTGTGTCTTTCCCATTTTACATTTTAAATCCACAATTTCTTGGTGCAAAGCAAATGCTGTTCTTGAAGGGGCTTGTGAGAGAGTAATTGTTGGAGATCTCTACTGTGATATCTCTCTGGGTCTGTATGTAATCCGCGGAGAGAATGTAGTTTTGATTGGAGAGCTGGTATTGCTTTGTCTTATCAAAAGGTCATTTTTTCGGCAGTGTGCTTCTATTGTTTTCTTAACCATAAGCGAGGTAAAGTTGGATTTGAAATTGACAGGACCTTGAGAGGGATGAGCTCCCTTCACATATGATAAATGTTTCACCAGCAGAGATAAGAAAGGCCCAAAAAGCAGAAAGGGATGCCACAGATCTGAAAGGCTCCATGCGAAAACGAATGGAGTTCCTCGACTTAGATTAGGAATTCATCATTCAGACACACCAACTCATATTGCCATCCCTGTGAATTTCAAAATCATAGCTTCCGCACATTTTATCGCGGTTTTCTCCTAAAGTGCCTTTCATGGCTTTTTCTTCCACTATGCAGCAAAAAAACTTTTACAAGGTTGGTTTCTGTATTATAAACTATGTTGTTGTCCATTAGATGCTAAAATGTTTATTTGACTAATATGTTGAATGACGGGTGTAAGAATATCTTGTAGCTACAATAGGGAGTCCAATTGGTTTTTAAATGCTTCCAGGTTCTTCTAAGTTGCAATATCTGACACTTATGCCATGCTACTATTAAGCTCGGCATTTTGTTCTTGTTTCCTTAAGCTGCTATTTAGACAGTTGTGTCTTGGCACATTTCAACTTCACTGAGTAAGTTTATTGAGTATGGATCATAGCTGATGTGTTTGCGTTGGTGCTTCTGATGAAAATAATTTTGCTCAAAACTATTGCATCGGCACATTTCAACTTCACTGAGTAAGTTTATTGAGTATGGATCATTGAGGGCATCAAAATGCTATATTTCACACAATTAAATACTTCATTGTTTGTGACAACTATTGCATCGGCGTTGGACCATTATCGTCGATCAATGGTTGGTTGCTTAACGTGATCGACGGTTGGATGGTTCGTTTGAACTGGCCTAGGAGTAGGATCTTCCAATCACTTTTTGATCATATGAGAGTTGATCCGGCGCATTTGTTTTTACTACATATAGGTAGTTATGGTATTCAAATTCTCTAATTACCCTCTCCAAATACTCTCGGAACTCGTTGGTTTAAGAAGGATTATCCTCATCATCCTCATTTGGTCATTCTAGTGTTTTCAAATTTACCTTCATTGCTGATTTTTGGTCGTCGGGTTTCCCTTTCTTTTATGAGAATGACTGTGCAAACTACTTCCCATCATCTGGTGACTTTCAATTGCTTAGTCTCCCTTCTCTATAAGGAATAATTTGCTATATTAATTATTTGCTTGACATCTACCACCATCCGATGTTCATTGATGCCCAACATCCATCAATGCCCAACCAAATTATTATTATTTTAAAGCTTTACATATAATGAAAAATTTTCAGAACAAACCTTTGAGAGGATCTCATCATCACATTTCTATGCAACCTATATAGTTCACAGCTAAAGTCTTAGACTTCGTTTGGGACGGCTTTCTTACTGCTGTTTAAAACAATAAGAAAGTTACTTTAAGAAACAATTAAAAAGCCATCTCAAACGAAGCCTTACTCCTTGGGCAGAATTGTAACCATGATCTTGAAAGGTAAATACATCAACTTTTACCTTTACTTTGATAAATAGAAGCTGATCCTTACTTAATGAAGGCCTAATCAATCCCATAGGGACTTGATTTGACCTCTACTATCCCATACTTTCTCTTCTTCTACCCTGCAGCAAAAAACATCTACCAGGTTCATTCCTGTTCTATAAACTGTGTTCTTGTCAGTTAACCGCGATGAAGTGTATCAATGGTGGGTGTGAGAATCACTTGCGATTACAATAAAGTCCAATGTGTTTTCAAATGCTTCCAGGTTCTTCTAAGTTGCAATATCAGTTACTTGTGTCTTGCTGCTAGTAGGCTCTGCATTTTATTCTTGTTTCCTTCAGCTACTACTATTCAGATACTTGTCTAGTTGTCTTGTCTCATTTCAGCTTCACTGAGCATGCTTAAGCAGTTTGTATCATGGCTGCTGATGTGTTAGCTGAGATGTTTCAGTTATAATTCTAAATCTCTGTGGCCTATGATGCACCGACACGGACACGGCGATACGGACACGACACGACATGGACACGGCAATTTTTAAAAATATAGGACACGGGTGCGGCGTGTACACGGCATAATAATTTTTTAATATAATATATAATAATTTTTAAAAATATAGGATACGGATACGGCGTGGACAGATGGCTCTTTTGAACCTTCACCTAATCCACTCCCGTGCTAACAAACCAATCATACATATGATTGCTCTCAACAAGAAAAAGCATCTTGGTGTCAAGCTTGTGCACTATTATTATCATTCTTGGTTAGACCTAATTTGGATTCTTATAGTTTCTTGGAGATAGGATACTAAATGAGCATATTCGTGGAAAGGTTAGTATAGTCAAGTGGAAGATAAGATTAGAGAGAGTCGCCTTAGATGGTTTGGTCACATAAAACGGCGGCCTTCCGATAACTTGGTTAGGAAAGTAGAAGTATTAGATTTGACTTCTATTAAGAAAGGTAGTGGTAGACCTAAAAAGACTTGGTTAGAGAATATTAGAAATGATCTTTTCTTATTAGATTTAAACTAGAATTTGATTTTTAACATGTCACAATGGAGAAAAAGGATTCATGTAGCCGATCCCATATAGTGGGACAAAGGCTTGATGTTGTTGTTGGTGTTGTATAATTTGTTGGAATTGTTATGTTTAATTTGATAGTCAAATTTTGTATGAGCAACTCCATCGGATTCATGGCTTCAAAAGCGATAAAGATTATCCTTATCGTCTTCATTTGGTCATTCTAATTTTTTCAAATTTATCTACATTGTTGACTTTGGGTTTTATGGTTTTCCCATCTTTTAGGAGAATTGCTACTTCCATTATTCAAGTCATCTAGTGACTCTCAACAAGCTAATCTTCTCTCTCTATAAGGAAGAACTTGCTTAATTAGGTGAAAATCCACCATCATCTAATGTTTGTTGTTGCTTAGAATCCATTAATGCCCAACCAAACTATGATTATTTGAAAGCTTTATAGAGAATTGAAAATCTCCACAACAAACCTTTAAGAGGATCTCATCACGAAGCCTATATTGGTTCCAGTTTTAAAGAAATATTTCTTTGGCAGAGTTGTAAGCACTTGAAAGCCAAAAAGAGTCATTGGAGACAATATCAACATTGCACATAGAATTGTAAATGTAGATGAGCAAAAGACTATCCTCCTGGTACCAACAAATGATAAGAAATAGGATGGAAAAGGGAGCAAATCAACTATAAAAAGAAAGAACAACCTCAAATTTCTCCCCAAAAAAAAAATAATAATAAAAAAAACCTGAAATTTCTCCCTAAAAATTTCAAAATCGATTACTAGAAAGAGAAAGAAGAACAATCCCCAACTGAAATTGATAAAAAAAAAAAATTATCCATTGTATCATGTTAAGATTTAAATTTTTGTTTAAATCTAATAAAAATGATAATTTTAATATTTTCTAATTAAGATTTTTTAGTTTTATCTCTCTTAACATATATTAAATCTAATACATCTACTTTCATAATCTAGTCATCAAAAGGTTGAAGTTTTACTTGACCAAAACATCTAATGTGACTCTCTGTAATCTTATTTGTGCTAGAGCCCGCCCGACCTTTTCATGTATATGGTTGTTACACATTTTCTCTCTAAGAGTAAAGCCATTTATCCACCTGTGCATCCTCATCTATGCAACACTTAACTTATTGTATATTTCTCTTTTAATGACAAACATTATGCACCATAAAGCATTGCAGGTCTCACCACCATCTTATAGAATTTTTCTCTTAAGTTTGTGGGGGTACTCTTTAATCACATTGGAGGCTCGATGCATTTCTCCACTTCAAACATTTAACTTGAATTCTACTAATAATATTCCTATCTTTTTTTAGGGGATTCGAGCCCAGTTGAGATAGGAGGAATCTCTTCCGTCGACCACTCGGCTACAACCCCAATCTCTTCCTATCTATTTCACCATCACTATGGACAATAGACCCAAACATCTAAAACATGTACTCTTATTAATGCCTTGATTGCCTAAAGTCATAATTCCCCCATTAAATCTATTACTACTAAAATTATATTATATGTATTCGATTAAAGTTCATGAATGCAAAAATGATTTATATCAACCTGTATGATCCATTTAGAAAAGTCTCTACTTAAGATTGATATAATATATAGATTAAAAAATAAAAAAACTCTATAATGGTTGGACTAGACTTGGCCCAATTCCATGTGATTTCAATTTGAGTGCTTGTAGTGGTGTAACTATGATTGGTAAGTAAGAGCAGACAAACAGCTTATCCTGAATTTAGTGATTGCAAAATCTCTATAATCTATATAAATTTTCAATTCCTAAAATTTCAAATCCAACTAAGCAACACCTCTCTAATAATCAAAGCGTGTAACGCTTTATTTTATATAGCCAAACAAGCAAGAATGTTCTTAAATAAGATTTTGTTTGGGACAGTTTTTTTATTGCTTTATAAGATGATTTTTTAGTACAAAAATTTTTTGAATTAGAAATTTTAATACTGTGAAGTTGTTTTAAAAAAGACGCCCAAATGAAAGCTATGACATAGATGTCTAGCAAAATCACCTAATTTATCATCTATATTAATACAATGGGGAGGACATAATTCCGGTTTCCAGTTAAAATTTCTTCAATTCGAAGCTTACATGAAGGAAATAAAAAAATATAATGTGAATACCTAACATGCACTTTTGTCCGCACATAATAATTAATCTTAATTGAGAAATCAGTCTGTGTGAAGATCGGACGCAGAACGTCATTTAGAGGCCAATCAAGACATGGTACCGAGCAGTATCGAGTCACGGTATTGAGTCAGAAGTGAAGTGACATATTCTGATTGGTGTTCGGACAGAATAATTAATCTTAATTATCAGGCGACAAACAACAAAGAAAATATCGATATCAGCAGCTCAATATCCTATACACACAGAAAAGTGTTCAGATCCTGCAGAGTTATTATGATAAAACATTAAAAAATGCAGCAGTTGATTGAATCAACCAATCCTATTTACTTGAAAATGTTTAAATAAATTGTTTTAGATTAACTACAGCAAAAGAACAACGAAAGAAAGTAAGAAACCCCACCCCTCCAGTTTTAATAACCTCATGGGCATCCGAAGGTTGTTAGTAAAGGCTGAGTAAATCCCCGCTCCACGGCTCCTGCGCCGCCTCGACTGATCTCTCCGACCGGCGGCTGTCGCGCGACCCGCGCAAGCTGCCCTCCCGCCACGGTTGCGTGGGTACGATCGGACTGATAGATTCGATTCCACCGCCTCCTCCGTCGGCTATCTCCTCGACCATCTCCGCCGCCTCCTTCATCCCGGGACGCTCCTCCGGCCCGAGCTTCGTGCACGCCACGCCCACCCGCAGCATTCGGATCATCTCTGGCCCGGAGGCGGCGAGACCCATGATCTGGGGGTCGATGAGATCGGCCTCCCGCCTCTCCGCAACGGCGGATGCCCCCCAGTGGACGACGTCGATCCCGCCCTTGGTGTTGTTGAGGTATTGGGAAGGGAATTTGCCTGTGATTATCTCGAGGATCACGACGCCGAAGCAGTACACGTCGGATTTGGGGGAGACGTGTGGGGCCTCCGGGGATTTGAAGGCGAAGAGAACGTTGGGGGCCGCGGCGGGGTTGACGAGTGCGATGAGACCGTAATCGGCGAGGATGGGTTCGAAATCCGGGCCGAGGAGGACGTTGCCTGTCTTCAGGTTTCCATGGGGGAGATCGTAGGAGTCGAGCTCGGCGTGAAGGTACGACATTGCGCGCGCGATTCCTCGGATGATTTTCAACCGCGTCGGCCAATCCAGCGCCGCGTGTTCTTCTCCTCGGTCGCCTGTAAGAAGCAAGCAGAGAAGTTCATTGTGTAAATTCTTCATCAAATAATACTTTACCAGATTACATTATATAACGCCAAAATTTCAAGCAAATGAGTTACTTTTAAGATTGTTAAAAGCAAAATATTTACCATGTAGAATATACAGTAGGCTCCCCTTTGCAACATACTCAGACACAACCAGCTTCTCCTCCTTCCGAAAATGGTAAGCGAGCGGCGGCAACAAATTTGGATGCTGCAGCCTCCCCAGTCTCCTCATCTCCCGATCAAATCCCTCCTTGTTTAATCGGTTCAGCTCCCTCATCCTCTTCACTGCAACGGAAACCCCATTGTCCATCGCCGCCTTATAGACGGAACCAAGCCCTCCGTTTCCAAGCACCTCCGCCGACGCCCTCATCAAGTCCGGCAACCCAAAAACTCCCTTTTCATCATTCACCATCACCAGCTCCGAGCCGCCACCCCGGTTCGAACCGCCGCCGCCGCCGCTTCCTCTGTTTGAACCGCTGCGCTTCTTGCTGCGGCGGCGGGAACTGGAAGCTGAGGGTAATTGGACCGGCGAGGCGGCGGCTGCTGCTTCCATGGCTTCTGAAACGGATACGGCGTCATGGTGGTCTATGAAGGAATCGGCGAATTGGTCTTGACGGCGGGATTTGACGGCGGCGTAGCCGATGACGAGGGCAAGGAAGACGAGGAGAATGCCGAGGACGATGAGCACGAGTTTGCCGGAGTGGGAGTCGCCTTCCCTCTGCTCGACTGCTTTTAAATAGGTTGTTGGGATTGGGCAAGCCGGGCCGGGGAGTGGTGGCCCGCAGAGATTTGGATTGCCGGCGAAAGCAGCAGCTCCGAAGTGGACCAACGAGGTCGGAATAGGCCCCTGCAAGTTGTGGCCGTAAACAATTAAGACAAAGGAGCTGTGATCCTATTTTTTTTGTTTCTTTCCTCGAGGCCTTAGATTTTTTTAGAAATTATTAAGGGGCTGTTTCTTAGAGAGATTATTAGGTGGGGAGTGCCGACGGGGAGAACCGTTCGCATAAGCATTGGGTACTTAATGCTACTCACACTTGGTACCGCTCGGTACCGCTAGGTACCCAGTGTTTGGGCGGAAGGTGCGCACTTCGCACCTAATATTTTTTCCTGTTTCGTAGCACCCAGGATTTGATTTGAGTAGGATTTCATAAATCTTATAAATCCGAATTTTAAAAATCCTGAGTGTCCTAAATCCTGAAAATTGTTCGGTAACATATATGATAAATCCTACTAAATCTGTTGTGATTGTTTGGCTATATAGCAAATTTAACGAGTGGATTATTCCTCTGGAGCCAATGGATATCCTAAATCCGGCAAAAAACATGATTTCAAAAATCCGGGATTTAGCATGAAAAGGAGGAATTTTTCATCTTGCCGTGAGATTTGGTTTTGCATTTTAGGGCGTTTGGCTGGATTTCGCTCAAATCCGCCTCAAGATATGAGAAATGGTGCACACGAGAAGTAATGACTGGTTGGGCCTATGTGAATTAGATCGAGACTAGATGCAGACAAAACTCTTTAAAATTAGGTAAAATAATGTTATACTTGTGAAAAGTCTACACAATGAATAAAAGAATGTTATACTCAAGGAAAAAAAACATGAATTTTAGCTAATTTGTGGGTTGATTTGAATGAATAATCATTAAATTGCAATATTCAACGTTTTCCTTCTCTTAAAATTTCCAATATCAGAACAAAGCCTCTCATAAAAAACATCCTCAAAATGCACCAATGGAAATAAAATTGTTACGTACATTCATTTATATGAACATACAGTCGACTAACATTCGATCGAATACGTACATTTGCTTAAGAAATAAGAAAAGAAGAAGAGAAAATCATGAATCCCACCTGCAGGTCATTATTGGAGACGTTGAAGTAGCGGAGAGAAGGAAGCTGCAGCGCTGGTATGTCGCCGGTGAAATTATTCCCTTCCAAACGTAGGTCGATGAGCATGGAAACCTTGGAGAGAGACGACGGAATCCTCCCAGAAAGCAGATTTCCATCCAGCCATAGCTTCTTCAGGTGATCCATCGATAAGAAAAGCGAATCATTGATAGAACCGGCGAACCGGTTATTCGAAAGATAGATCGATTTTAGGGCATCGAGGCGGCCGATATTCGGGAGAGGTCCAGACAAGTTGTTATTGTTGAAGCTGATGGAGCGGAGGGAGCGGAAGTGGGAGAGAGCATCGATATTGATGGTGCCTTGGAGGCCGAGACCGGCGAGACGGAGACCGGTGACGAATCCGCGCAAGCAGAGGACGCCGATCCAGGAGGCGGTGCAGGGGGAGGTGGGGGATTCATCGTGGGAGGTGGCCGGGGTGGAGGGGGTGGACCACGAGGAGAGGGCGGGGTTGGGGTTGAGGAAGGAAGATTTGAGGAGCAGGAGGGCGCCGGAGTCGGAGAGGGAGGAGGAGAGGGGTTGGTGGAGGAAGAAGAGAAGGAAGAGGAGAGGAACAGGGGCCATGGATGCAGGGGAGGGGAGAGGGTGGCGGGATGTTCGTGAGGGCGTGTTATTCTGTTTCGCTCGTTTTGTTTGGAAGAGAGGGTGATTTGACCGGGTCAAAGGTGAGGAGAGTGATGATTGGGGGGAGCGGTAGGAATTGAGGCTTTGTGAGAATTTGTTAAATAAAGCTATGTTTTTTATTTTATTTTATTTCCTTAAAATCATGTGATGATCTCCCCCCACATAATAATATCATATGATTTATTAATGCATGCTTGTTTCAAAATATTTTATTAATTGTGTAATATTGTGAGACAATCAAGGCATCATTTGCTATGGGAATGTAATTTTTAGGGGTGTCAATATTTGACACGACTCGAAAACCCGACTCGAATCCGACCCGAAAATTTCTGGTTATGGTCAACCCGAACCCGACCTGTGGTTAGAGTCAACCCGAACCCGAAATGGGTCGGGTTCGGGCTCAACATTTCGACCCGTTTCAAAAATCGGGTAGGGTTCGGGTTAATTCTTTGACCAGAAATTGACCCGATTTTGACTCGGCAACCCGAGATTGACCTATTTTTGACCCGAAAAAAGAGAAGGTAGACCCATTTTTGACCCAAAGAAGAGGTGATAGTCCCATTTTTGACTCGAAAACTAGCAATTTTTTGTTGGAAACGGGTCATTCGGGTCTGTCGGGTTGACCCGGGCCCGAAGCGGGTCATATTCGGGTTAGAAAAACTGACCCTTTTCAAAAACGGGTCGGGTTCGGGTTGACCCGAATAGTGCCGGGTCAGTTTCAGGTTCGACACGAACCCGACCCGTGACCCAAAATTGACACACCTAGTAATTTTGTTAGGCACTCCTTGAATGAAAACATTCGTCGTCTTTAGCGGCATGGTTGGTCAACTAAAAAAATAATGTATTTTCTAGCACATCATTGTGGATTGGATTAGTTTTTTTTTTTAGCTATCCTGAATTCTCTCATCTCCTGAACTTCTTTGATATTTTCCTGATGATTATGTGGTCAAATTGATTGGATTTCACTTACACTCTTTTTTTTGTTGCCATATTAAAAAGAAATACAATATATGATGGATAATGTTTGGGTATTTTGTATTTTTAAATAATCAATAAAATCATTACACTTCTTTTAATATAAAGTAATTTACTAGCAAATTACCTTATTATTATTTTTATACAAAATAACCCATCTATATTTTTTTATGATGCATGTTTTAAAAGTTTTAATTGATTTGAGTTGACACAAACAAATATTCATAAAGATTTACAAAGTTTTTACATCATAACTTTTGGTATGTTGAAGAGTAGAATATTCTAGTCACATTAGAAGGAAAAATATAAATTTTCACTAGGTGGTTTGCCTTGCACACTATTTTAAGCAATTCCACTATATGCTAATAATTCTAGAAATTGCTACATTATAATAAATGCTTCAAAATAATGCTATGGATGTTCTTTATGAATGATTTTATGAATTGTAACTGCCAAAATGTGAACAAAAGTTCACCCCTAAAATCATACAATTGTTCGTACCGTTGAAATTTAGTACATTTCTATGATATGTCAGTTATTGTTTGTATATATTGAAAAGTTGATATTCCCATGTTTATGCTTCTAAAATGCGGAGAAAAAGGAAAAAATGTAGGTGATTCAATATTTCTAAAGTTTTGAGCATTTTGTTATTTTTCGTAGTATATTGCCTATTGGATATACATGTTGGCTATACATATTGACAAACATCAATATTTTATGATACTATTTATACATGTCAATGTTCTAATGATTCTATGTTGACATGTCTAAAAATGTGTGCCAAAAGAAAAATATGATGTTATTGTACTTATGTCCATAAGTGTGTATAAAAGGGGGGAAAATGATTTTTTTTTTTTTCTGTTTTGGTGTTAGGAAGTGTGACTTATTTTTTATGCTTATATGCATTCTATTCATTTTGGAATATGTTATACTCTATTTATACATGATGGAAGTTTTGTTATCTTTGCGCCAATGTGCTTGAAATTATGTGTGATGGGAAAGGAGAATGAAAGTGTCAATAAATAGTGGTAGATGTTTCACATGTATTAAAGTGGATGTATAAGGGCTTATATATTTATGTAATTATCCCTATGTGTGTTGATGCGCCTAAAAAAATGTGATATGAAAAAGTGGTGGCATAAGGAGACATCAGGAAATATGAAACATGAAATATGAAATATAAAGGAATATGTATACAAGTGGAGGTATAAGCATAAGTAAAGGTAGAAGAAGACACTGAAAAATATGAATCTTATGTTATGTGTTATTTCATATTATGTTGTTTACATTATCATATCATGTGAATGTGAATGTGAATGTTTTGAACTTATTTTCAAGTACGTATATGCTGGTACTATTGGTATGTTTATACTTTTATGTCACGCCTCATAATCTAAATTGAAAGAATTTCTTATCTCTATATAATTTCAATTAACGATGAGAGATTACAAATTGCACATAGAAAATATAAACAACATAAAATATAAATACATTTTATAGTCAAAATTTATACCCTAACCCAGAGTCCAAAATGACATATACAATAGCCATGATTATAAACTAACAACAGTATATATATATATATATATGTAAAAGAATAAAAGAAAGATCAACAAATACATAAAGAAACTCTAGCCTTCAGGCCAGAACAACCTCAATATACATAGTCTTTACCATTGCCTAAAAATCTGTAAAAAGCACATAATGATTGTATAGTCTAGCAAGTAACTAATATCTACAATTGAAGTCAATGCATCAAACAAAATTAGTAAAAATATAATTGTATGAACATATAGTAGTCAATATATCATATAATTCATATATAGTCTTATCATATCATATCAGTCATATCCTCATCATATATCACATGTTCACATCAGTACCCTTCAACCTAGCTACATGTCAATCATGTCATCAATCAATTATCATATGCAATATGTCATGTGTCATCAGTCTTATCAATTGTTAGGCTTATTAGTCATTAATCATATCTATCACATGTCCAATCTATCATTTTTCATATTTATCATTTTTGTATCGATCTTATCATATCAAATGTGTAATTATGTATGTTATCATGTATGCATATTGATGTTGAATTCAGCTAAGCAAGATATTGAGCTTTTATATGATATTTTTAACATCTTTAACCCAACCTATCCACCAATTGATTATCAATCTTTAATTTAATCCTAACTTTCAACTAGTTGGTCATTAGTCTTAAATTTAACTTAAACTATCAACCATTTTGTTTTTGTCTTTATCTTACAATCATTATTCATAAATTTTAAATCAGTTAACAGATAATTTGTAATAAATCATTAAGAGTCGTCACTCTTTACCCATTCACTTAATCGGTTATATGCTACAATCAGGATTAAACCTTTAAGATTTAAATTAATATTGAAAATTTCAAATAAATTCTCAAAATTACCTTGAAGCTCCAAAAATACACAAAGTCAAATTTCTAATTACATGAATTGGTCCATCTTGAGCAAAATCTATAGTAACATTAATGTGATGTACTTGTCAATATGTGTCGGTCATAGGCTGGAGAGATAACTACGTGCAAAATTCAGACCTAGAGAATTGTTCGATTTAGTAACTTTGAACGAAAAAAGTGCAACAAAAGCACAATAAAAGAGCAGTGGTGAACGTTAACCACAATTATACTGTTTACGGTCACAAAATCAAACGGTTCTCCAGGTCCGGACTCCGCACGTGATAATCTCTTTATACGATACAACGACAATGAGCTATTTTTTCGGTGTACTTTTGTGCTGGAATTTCTAGCGACAACTTCACCAGTTCCTTCCATCAACAATTGTGCGACGGATTATTCGTCGGTACTTTCGGTGTACAATTGTGTCAGAAATACCGGTGGATTAAACGTCATAATTCATTTAAGAAAACATCGTATTTTCATCCCTTTTTTCGTCAGAATTATGTCAGAAATTTTCTGGCGGTAAAAATACGCTGGTTAATTTCCGGCACATTCCTATTGTTACTGTTGGATATCATCCGTCGGTAATGGTATATTTTCTTGTAGTGTTTCCTTAAAATAAAAAGCTGGTGATGTGATCCTCATTATAGTCTGTAACTGATTGATTGATTATACCGACAGATAAAGAGAGGTAACTCTTAAAGATTGATTGAAAGTCACATGTGAATTGAATATTGGTAATAATGATAATAAGTATGGACTAATGACAAATTGGGAGTGAGGGGTGAGTGGAAGGGGAAATTATTGGGTTCAGACACTCGACGTCGTCTAGAGCCTAATGAAAATGCGTCACATCACCTCCTACTCGATATTGAACTCAGTACTGAGAAGTACCAGCTCTAGCTCGATACTGCTCGGTGCTGTGAAGTACCAAACTCAGTACTTCACAATACCGAGCTTAGTATTACTTAGTATTGTGAAGTACCGAACGATAAGCTGTGTCCGATGTCCGAACCTAATAACTCCCCGAGTGGAAGTGCCCCACCACTCACATGTGAATTTGAATGTTCTTATTAAAAATGTAAAAAATGCATATTTTAAAATCCTAAGAAATAGACAAATAATTAATTACTATATTATATTATCTTAAAGCAAAATTAAAAACTGTAAAGCCCATCCAAATTAAAAGATTAATAATATATCTTCACCAATTCTTTAAAAAATGTACATATCTCTTTTTTTTTTCCCTCAAGAATCACGTGCTGCGAATCCACCCCTTTCACGCAAAGCGACTTTATATATGCCTGCTGCCGCGTGAAGAACAGTACAGAGGAAAACAAATAGATAGAGTAGAGAAGAGAAAAGAGAGGAGCTTAGAGAGAGGAAGAAGAGAGGAGCTTGAGAGAGAGAGAGAATCTTCGTTGCCGTAGATTGAGTGAAAAGCGGATTGATCGTGGCCGAGCATTCAATCAGATCTTTAGGGTTTTACTTGCAACCATAGTGGTGATGGCAAAGAGGCCTG